TAAGACACAGCCGTAGATATTTAGACAAAGTGAATCAGCAAAGCAAATGTGTTTTCAGTAGAGCTGCACTGATTTATGGCCCTGACCCTTAATCTGTGCATCTTGTTTTTCTGGGGTGTTTATAAATGTGAAGCAGCGCTTGCTGGGAGTCAGCTGCTGAAAAATGGATGCAACCACGTGTTCCAGTCTTCAGATGGTACTAGCTAAAAATAGTCAATCTTTCTTGAAGGAGAGCTGTAACCAAGCACTGCTCACCTGCCATCCTACCAGGAGCAGCAGTGTGTTGGACAGGAAGGAGTATGGATGGGCAGGGTGTTGTGGGCAGTCAGTGGGAGCAAGTGCATGTCTACAGGGCTCCTGCACACTCCATGTGTGTGGGGATCTACAGAGGACTTTGCAATATTAGGACACAAACAGGGCCACCGCCACTTACCACCACATGGTATGTGTGATGTGGATGCCCCAAAGCCATGGCTGTGCACGGGGGTTGGCTGGATGCTGTGTGTTGTGAGAAGGAGATGTAGTTAAATATTCTTCCCTCTTCCCCAAGTGTCTCTTATGCATCGTTAACTAAGAGGCAATCCCCAGTGGTAATTCTGCTACCCAGGAACAAGATGTTTTGTAAAAAAAAATCCAAACGCCGTGCCTACTAAACTATATGCTACTTTCCATTCCAACAGTTTGTTAAAGTAACACGTAGAAGTAACTGCTGAATAATTTTCATTTAGCTTATCCATACCCTGTAAATCAGATTCAGCCCACCAGCTTGGCTTGATGTAGACAACTGAATAATACCAAAATAAGTAGGGGTTTTAAACATCTCTGCTGCCCACCAACTTGGCTTGATGTAGACAACTGAATGATACCAAATAAAAATAAGTAGGGGTTTTAAACATCTCTGCTGTTGGCTGTTGAACACCTACCTCTTAAACTGGGCTTTTTAAGGGCGTCTGGAGCTTGCATGCCAAATCTTAGCTTATGATGTACACCAGATTTGACCTCTCTTGGTTTATTCATTTCTAAATGTCCTATTGTAAGTATTTATTGAGATGCTTTTTCCTTGTAATGGATTATTCTGAGGTACATGACTGAAGCACATGATGCATCGCTATGGGTATTTCTGGATTAATCATAGATCTTTTTCGGTGGTTTTCTTGGTCAGATATTAAACAAAGATTAGTATTTAATCAAAGCACTTTTTTATTCCCAGACTATTGTTAGAGGAAATAAGCCTCGAAAGGATACTTCAATCAACGGCCTGCTGGAAGAGTTTGACAATATCTCAGTTACACGATCCAATTCCCTGAGGAAGGAAAGTCCTCCCACCCACCACCAAGGAAACGCAAACCATGTGCCGAGACACCAGGAGGAAAATGGCTATATCACGTATTCCCAGTACTCCAGTGAGTCAGACACTACAACAGACTATGTCGTGGAAAAATATCGAGACAAGACTCTTTACGGGGAAGAGTTAGACAGGTACTACAAAGGCAGCTATGCCGCCAAGCAGAATGGACACATGATGAAGGTAACTTCCCGGGACATCTATTATTCAGAAGTGACACCCTTGCAGTCAGACCTCTCCAGATTCGTCCCAGATTACCATGCACACCTGGAGACAAAGCCTAAACCGCTGGAATATGGTGGCCTAAAGCTGGAGTATCAGCGGATCCCCAGTGGATCCTCCCTGGACTATAGAGATCCCTTTCCTTACACCCCGTCCCGAGCATCGGTGCAGAGTGAGTGCCCCAAGGAGAGGCTGGAGTACAGTGACAGTGAGTGGGGACATGGCCTGGTCAAGGACGACTATGACAAGAGGCCAAAGTCATCCTACGTGGACCCGGCGAGCCCTCAGCCGGCGATGAGGCAGAGGTCCAGGTCAGGCTCTGGTCTGCAGGAGCCGGCCATGCCCTATGGAGCAAGCGCTTTCAAAGCACACCAGCAGGGACATTCCTACAGCTCCTACACCTACCCCCGCTTGTCTGAAACCGCCGCAGGCATCCCCAAGGTAACGTGGCATCCCTGGTGACAGTGCTGTCGGGGGACCTACCTCTCTAAAATGGGAATGCAAAAAATTAAGCTCATACAAAAAATTAAAGGCAAGGAGCCATGCTTGGGCACAAGATGCTGAATGCAGATGGTTGTGTTCATGAGAGCTGCATGGCTGCCTCTGGGTGACTGGGAAAACCCACCTGCTTTACTCAGATGTCTGAAAATAGATGTCAGGGATCAGGGGGTTTAAGATCCTTATTAAAAGGCAGGTTTGGAGATGCCCAGGTTCTGGGTGTCCTACTTGAAATTCCCAATAACCCCAAGTTCTTTGGCAATTTGAGTTCATACATCTGTGCAGATCTCAGTGGGACCTGAGAAGCTGATCTGGTTTGTATATCAGATACTTGCATATTTAAATCGTTACTGTGCAAGGCTGAAACCTCTGTGTTTTAATATTTACATTTTATTTACACTATATTTATATTACAAGGTTTATTAACTCTTTGCTGCTAATGGGAGCAGGGCTCTACTCCTCTCTGCTTTGTTTTTAAGCAGTAAAATCAAAGCAGCTTATCTCACACAAGACATTTTAGATGTAGGAAAAAAAAAAGGGTTAAGGTGCAAAAAAGCATTTCATCTGTGGTATCTACAAGCAGCTCCTCTGCACAAATTTGTGGCCTGCTCTGCCTTTTCTAAGTCACATGAGGAATATTACCCAAACAAGCTGTCCTATCCTACTTGCAATAGTTTGCTGTAACTATTTGTTCAGTTAAGAGAATAACGCTTTTCTTACGTGTCTAGTCACATAGTTACGATGTGACCTGCTTAAACATCTAATATTCTGCAAGAGATTTCTTCAGTGTAGATTGCATTGAACATTACCGAGTTCCCCTAGCATCAGGCACTGAGATGATAGCTCATTTTTCCAGGATTTAAACAGTCTTGGGTTGCTGTGACTAACCAAATGTGCTGAGGTAAGTAGCTTGTTAGGTGAGGAGATCTGCTCTGCTGTTTAATGATGATCTGAACGGTGCATTTTCATACTGTCTTTGTGCGCTGAGAACATGGTCCTGTTCAAATGCAGACCCAGAAGAAGTCCAGGTCTCTGCAAGTCCATGATAGCCCTATACCTGTGTCTTGCTTGCTCAGGTTTTGGCTGCTTTGCTGATCCTGGGGTGCAGAGTTATAACCAGTGCCCTGTGGTAAAGGGACAGTGATGTGTTTTCATTCCACATTGCATTAAAGCCCAGAGGTGGGCTTTGGAGTTTGAGGATAAATTGGAGGGGAAGTAGAAAACTTACCAAGTCTCTTTGCTTTGCCTTTCCTGAGCTTGGGCTGTGGTGGGAAGGATGCATTTGGGTAGTTGAATTGTGTGTCAAAGTACAGATTCTGGAAGTTGTGAGGAAAGCCTGGGATGGGCTATCTGCCATTTCCTTCATTTAAACCAATCATTGTGTCAGAGTTTAGAAAGGAGAAGGACAAATCCAGTGATTCATAGACTTTCTTGCGCTTGCTTCTGCCAGTTTTACAGCATTCAGTAGGGCTGAAGACAGAGTTATATTTTACAGGACTCAAAGCACTCCAGACAGTTTGAAAAATACTCCATTAAAATGCAGTAACAACTTTTATTTAAAAAAAAAAAAAAATCTTGCCTCCGTGCAAGATTCATTTGGAGCTGTTCTTCTCCTCAGAGCATCAAAAACACTCCTACAGCTTTGGTGTATTGAAACTTGATGATTCACTGTTAAATGCAGCAGTTTCAATTCCCAAACCCATCCACAGCTCCTGGAAGTGAATAGCAGTTTCTTGTCTTGGATGATTGCTGAAGAGTCTTCTTTGCAAGGAGGCATTAGTAAGATAATGGTTCATCAAATGGGTTTACTAAATGAGAATCAGGTCTTGAATCAGATATTTTACAAATGAGATTGGCCTTAAAGTATAATTAAAAGGGGGGGAAAAAAAGAAGTTAGAAAGTCTGCAGGCACAAATGTATGGCTTCAAAATTCATGTAGTAAAGATGTGCATTTTGGCTTGTAAATGTGAAGAGCAGACTTACTTTGGTATTATTTGCAGGTGATAGATGTCAGATAAATCAAATGTCTGCCCTGTGTCATCATCAGTGATTTCAGAGGTGTTACAGCAGAAGGCTGTATCAGGTGCACAGGAAGCTGGTGGCTCAGGTTTGGTTCTCCCTTGGATCCCCTCCCGTGCTGCTCACTTGCTCTCTTATTCCTGCAGAACAACCCCCCTAGCACTTGGTGGGGTTGCAGCCTGTGTTACCCTCATAACACAGAGATGGCATCCCACATTGTTCAGTAGAGTCTTCTCGGCGTTGTCACACAATATCAAACCCATGCCACCACCTCTGCTTATTATAGAAAGGTTTTGTCCTATTTTTAGGCACTCTGTACTGCATGTTTTTCTTTTACTCTCTTCTTCCTAGCAGACAGCCCTCATAACTTTGCACCGGATTCTATTACTTCAAAGCTCCTTTCCCTGTCATTTTTGGGTAATGGCTCTCCCTGACCCTCTCCTGTCCCTCCTCCAAGGGCTGCAATTTCTGCTCTCCCCTACCCTACCTTGTGCTCTGTACAGTAGCAGAGGTCTCTCTAACCTGGCTGCTGCTCAGCACTGCTGTTTTCCTGGTGTGCATTTTGCAGGCACTCTGTGCTGGGAGGACATTTCCAGCCCGGTGAAGGCAGAGCAAAGCCTATACTGTTAGAAACCTTCTCCTTTTTTCCCCTGTTTTCTCATTCTACAAATGCTGCCTGCCATGGAGTGTCTTGGAGATTTCTACCAACGAAGCACCAGATTAACCTTCCCACTTGCCAACTTGCCATCTCCGTGTAATTTACAGACCATCCCTTCTACACCTCTTACTTTGGCAAATTGAAACCTAATCAAACCAAAATCTGTTTCACCTGTCCTGAAAGGTCAAACACAGCAGAAGCTGTCTTCTCATCCACAGGTTGGTGGACCTGCAATGAGCTGGCAGTGTGCACTTGCAGCCCAGA